ACACAAAAAGCATGCAACAGAAATGAGTCAGTATGTTTTAAAGATAAAATACACGTAGAATTCTATCACAAAAGGCAGGAGGGTGCTAGAACTATGTAAACCATGTCTCAAAGCTGATGAGTTATCTTAATGTGACTATATATATATATATATATATATATATATATATATATATATATATATATATATATATATATATATATATATATACTCACTTGATATTAGTGTTGAAGATCCATATCTTGTTCACACTGTATGCTGTGTGGAGTGCAGTGTAGTGCAGTAGATCTCTACACTGATTTCAGATTAATGAACGCCTGTCTTGCTGTTTTTCCAATCCTGACTTTGATATCCTCATCTGTGACTGTGTTGCTTGTAGTTGAAATGATGCCGTCCTGCCTAGGTAGGTGAAAGTGACTACTTCCTTTAAGTTTCTCCCGTTAATGGTGGTTGATGCTTGTTGTTTTTGTTGGTGGAGTTGGTTGGGTATCTTCATCACTGCAACCTCTGTCTTCTCTACATTCACTTGAAGTCCTGTTTTCTCTGCCCTGCCTCTTCTGTCAACTTGTTGGTTTTTTCCTGTAGATCTTGGAGTTTGTGTGACAAGACATTAAACATAAATTATCCTTAGAATACTGAACTCTGATTGGTTATTGCACCAGTTGCCAGAGTGGCCTTTAAGGTCGCCCAATTTAACGCAAAGGAAAGAGTAATCCGAAGTTAGTACTCGATAACTGTACTTCTCGCTGTTAGAAAGGATTATTAGCTTGGTTTATTAGGCCTGATAACAGCTCAGGAAATATTTTGAGGATATTGTTTTTATTATTTACTAAGGCTTAGCTCAGCAAGATTATTAGCATCCAGACCATAGTTGTTACGAGTGTCCTACATGAAGTTGACTATATATTTGATGTTGATAAAAATCCGTACATTCTGGTGACGAAGCTGTGGTTTTTGCAGCCGACTGTTCAGAAATATCTTGTTTTATTTTCCTAACACACTGGGATCATATTAAAGTATATTCTCGTGGTAGCTCATCAATCCTTCATCAAAAGTCACTTTCCAAGCCTTGTTACACATATTGTAGCCATCCTTGAGAAAAAAAGCCCTCACACTCTCTAAAAGACATTTACCTTCAAGCCTACAGATTGACGTCATCAGTACTATTCTACACTCCTGACTAGAGTGAATGTTATTCTGATGCTAATATTTCTTTAAATTTGTAGTTGACAAACTTTACTAAGAGTGTTAGGATGTAATTTAACAAGTTCAACTGCCAAATTTACCAGCGAAATTCGAGTAGTAATTTGTGTCAGTCGACACAAAACCATTCTATTTTCCGCCTAAATTCTCTTACATTATCATCATGGATTCACATTTTCATAGTTCTATAGAAAGAGATTAAGATAAGAGAACCATTTCGAGTGTTTACTATTAATTAGTAATACTGAATCTCTCAAAATGTTGGAGAATTTTTACATTTCAGCCACCGTCATTCATTAAGAGATTTATCTATCTATTGTGTTCTAGTAAATAAACCCACTTGTCACTCTCTATTCATACCTGATGTACATATCTATACGAACAAAGCATTATAGGTCATGCATACTCTGCTTTAACATAATCTACTGTTTGACTTTATAAGTACATTAGTAAATCAGTTTAGAGGTAAATATACAAATATATTTGCCTATTTTTGTTTTGTTTACTTATCTTTACGTTGATATCAGTATGAGAAACTCATGTATACTTGGAGTGTAACCAACTGCTGAGTCAGTCATCACGGGTTACGTTCACCAGTGTTTGTATCATTATGGTGAACTATGTTATCACCACTACTTGTAAACACTTTTATCCCTGTGTACAGTAGATGAGAGATAATTAAAAAAAATAGTGTAAACATAATTTTAAACTGTAAATATTCAAGAAGTAAGTAAGAAGGTTTTAGAAAAGCTTGTTAATTAAAAGCTAGTTTTTCCAAGTCATCAGTGAACAGTGTAGTTGTTTCCCTTTTGTAGTAATATGATAAATCAATAAAATTTTCATAAGTAGCTAATTTTAAAAATGTTATTGTAAATTTAGTATTGTCTGCGGTTGAAAACCTTATATTATGTGTAGGTATGACATTTTTTCAGCCAAATATTAACTTACACCACGTAAACTGCTAATGTATGGATTAAATCTTAAAAGTTAACCTGAAGTCCAACGCTTGACTACCACTTAACACTATGGAAACTAAGGAAGCAGTAAAATGACAGATTTATTCCGAGATTTAGTTTGCACAGCAGTATAATGTCGTATATTTCCACACTTTTCTAGAGAATATTTCTCATTCATTCTATTATACTTACCAATCTGAAACTTACGTATACGTCAAAATAACATTTCTTACAACTTCAAACTATTGAGTGATTGTAAGAATTTTCAGGGAATTGACGCCTTCTTTGAGTTAAATTATTTCTGCAATTTACAGGGATTGTGGTGAAAATTGATCAGTTTCTTTCTTTCTTTCTTTCTTTTCCCTCCTTCGTGATAAATGATTAATGTGCACTGCATTTCTCTCTATATATCTCATGAATTTACAGCCTGTATGCAGTTGAAAAGGCGAAGAAATATAATGATTTCATCGTGATCTGCAAACATTTCTATTTTACCTTTGGTAAAATCTTTCAACTGAACCTAACTGCTTTAACATAAAAAGCTGTTGAAAACTGACTTCAAGTTTAGTAAATACCTCTATAACTCCCCTAAATTCTCAATTTCTTTGATCAAATTCTCTCGAATATTCAGAGAAGCCAATGATTAATGTAAAGTGCAAAAGTTTAGTTGAAACAGAGTATCATGGAACACACGACACTGTGGTAATAATTTGCAGTAATAATTAGTGGAATCCAGATTATGTCCTCTATCATATCATCGCAAGTTGAATTCATTATTGTCTAACTGCTAGTGCATTCACTGAAGCTCGAAGCATAAATACACGGTTTTGAACACAGGAATCTCATCTATTAAGCTGCTAAGTCATTAGAACCAGCTCTTTCCTAAGAAATGTAATATATTCTAGTTTGAAATCCTCCGTTACAAAAACAAACCTTCAGAGTCTACCCTGAGAAGGAAAAAATACCGCATATCAGAACCCAACAAAAAAAGTTGAGTGCATCAAAAATATGAGTAGGACAAGATATAAACAAGTCACACTTAAAATACATGTATCATCTTTCAAATGCGATGAATTACAAAAAAACTTTTGTCATAGAATCAAAAAAGTTTCTTATTTTCCTTCTTTAAGACACAAGAAACATATCAGTCGCTCAAAAATTAATGAGAATCCCATCAGCTCTCATTAAGCGTCTGAAGCCACCAAAACTTTGCTAAATAATGGCATCACATTTAATGTTTATAAGATAGATGTGTATTCGTTACTGTACTTTATTCCCTGAGGTACTTTGTAACCTTATAAAGACAGGGTATTATATGTAGTGTTTCAAGTCTGTAGATATATGCATTCAATCTTAGAGTGCTACATATTAATATTTTTTAAAGGTTCAGCGGTATAAAACTTATTCCTAGAAATTAAACTTAACATATAGTATGTTGGCGTCCCAGATTTCTGGTTATATCAACTTATTTCATATAATTAGACTATACTGAAAACTTCAGACATCAAAAGTATGATACTGCGCAACAATTACCACATAAATTAGTTCTTCTTCACCAAAGACATCATTAGAGAACTAGTTTGAGATGATAAGTGCATTGGTGCAGAAAGGCACATTTCTAAGTAAGGTCTTACATTTATAGAAGTTTACAAATGATGTGTGAAGCATCTTTCATTCACGACTCGCATTAAATGGTGATCGTTTTGTGTCACCTTTAGAATTCCTGTTGTGGAAATATTAAAAAGCGACAACTGGATATTAAAGTTCTGATTCCATCATATTCGCAAATCACAGTATACTCTCCATAAACTGCCAATAAAATGTCCTACCACACACTAATCATTTTTGGTGAATATTTTGGACCAAAAGCCTGTACCTCTTCTACATATTTCCTAAATTATGTAGTCACTTTTAGTTTCATCTAGTGTTATGAAGCTAATTGTTTTACATTAGAAGACAAAACTTGAAGATACTTGGGTACCTGGTTAACCTGCAGTTTAGGCACCTTCTTTCTTTTGTGAAATGATAATTAGTAAACCAGTACAGCGGCTGCCTACTATCTCTAATGATCTTCCTGATTGTGGTCGACTGGACTGGATCATGCAAAAAACAGTGAGGAACGAGAAAATCCGCATACGCTGGCAGACAGATGAAAAGACCCTAGAAAAAGATTTAGATTTCGCCTTCGACGATGTATGTTTAGTGTCTTGTCACACAAACTCCAAGATCTACAGGAAAAAACCAACAAGTTGACAGAAGAGGCAGGGCAGAGAAAACAGGACTTCAAGTGAATGTAGAGAAGACAGAGGTAGCAGTGATGAAGATACCCAACCAACTCCACCAACAAAAACAACAAGCATCAACCACCATTAACGGGAGAAACTTAAAGGAAGTAGTCACTTTCACCTACCTAGGCAGGACGGCATCATTTCAACTACAAGCAACACAGTCACAGATGAGGATATCAAAGTCAGGATTGGAAAAACAGCAAGACAGGCGTTCATTAATCTGAAATCTGTGTGGAGATCTACTACACTCAGCATAAAGCCTAAACAAGATGAGGATTTTCAACACCAACGGCAAGTCAGTGCTCCTGTATGGATCAGAGACTTGGCGCGTTACGAAAGGGATTTCCAACAAACTACAGGCATTCATCAACAACTGCCGCCTACGCCCACTCGACACTGAAGATCAGATCAGATGGCCAGAATAATAAGAGTAAGCAATAAGGAACTCGGACTGCCTGGCTGGCAACGAACCAACTAAGAACCTATCACCCAAACAAATATGCAGAAGAAAGTGGGGATGGATTGGATTGGATATACAGTGGGAAGACCGATTGGGGACATCTCGCACCAGGCCATGTCGTCGAGTGGAATCCAAAGGGGAAACGACGAGTTGGGCGTCCAAGGTGAGGGTGACATGGAGGAGATGGTGTGAGGAAGAAATGAGAGCTTGTGGACGTTGGTGGAGCGAGGTTGAAAAGACTGGAGAGAAGAGAGTGAAATGGTGACGTGCTAGTGAAACCTTATATTCCACTAGGAATCCAAGGGAATAATAATAATAAACCATTACAGCAAATGTTAAGCTCATAGGAAGACGAAACGTTTTCTTTCGGTCTTAAATAAAAACTTAGTTTTCCCGGCAGTGTGAACCCAAAATAATTTTTGATTGTCATGCTGATCATAACTTGTCGATGAAGGTAAGCACAATGATTGCAAGCGAAGTTCTATACTTATGTAAAGGTAGGACTTATGCACTACTGAAGAGTATAATTCCATTTCGACGTGTTTGTCGGATACTGAAACAGTATTACTTACTAGATGACGCTTCAAACAGATTTCACCGTTCACACTCATATTCACCTTTGAAAGAACAAGACCAACACATTCTGTTGTTGAAGTCCTTCACGAAATAATAATGTCTGACTGGATGAAACACCTGACAAACAAATTAACATGGATGTTTTCCACTGTACTCAAATTTAAACTTATTGAAATTTTTGCGAATATTGGCTGATAAATTGTTTTGCTAAAGAGTTGTAATGAGTGCAAAACTTGATTTCTAAATCGTTAAGAAAATTAAAAATATTTACTGAATAATGGATTGGTTAACAGATCATAAATTTTATAGATTTCTCTGTTCATTACAGAAACCAACTGATGTCTGTTTTCATCATTTACAGTGTGAATTTGTAATGAAAATTCCATCCCATTTAAGCTATTTAATAGCTCATTTTGTGTAACGCTACTTCTTATCTTTCTATAAATTCACGTCGATAAAATGTTCAATAAAATCTGTCCCTACGTGACTCTGTCATGTTTAGTAAGTTAGTTGTACACATTAAAAAGGTCAAATTCAAACTGATAAGATTGAAAACTTCAGTTAATCCTTTCGATATAACCCATTTAAAATATAAGATAAGAGTTTTGTGTATGTGTGCTTACACGCAACATTATTGTTATGAATGCCAATGTCTGAGTGCCTTTCGTACACTTTTTTTTAAATTGTTTTGATTTAATTGCTCATTATAAAACTCTACTGTTAAGATATACCTTCAACCCAGCATGGTGCGAAACACCACGGTAATCCATATTATCTAGACAGTATGTGATGTTAAGTTGTTTAAACGATTTAATTAAAACCATTTTAGATCTAATTAGTCTAAGTTCTAGTGGTAAAATAGGATTTTAGTTGATTAATGAATTTAATAAGAAAAGCTTATAGAAATATTCATCTTTCCGTAACTTATCTATGATACCAGTGGAATAAGCTGATACTTTTTAAGTGGTGTACATAAATAAGTCTTCTGCGAAGATGTTGATATTAAATTGAAGAATTTAAATAAATTTATATTGTGTGACTACTGCTCATAAATATTGGTCAGAACACCTCACTGGTGGTTTGTCAGAGTGGTATTTATGATACGAGATGACATATATAAGACGAATACAATCCATAAAATTGGTTGCAGGAGTTGTTAACATTACCACGTTGATCAATCCAATCATAAAATAACTCCAAGAATTTATAAACATCAACTTTCAATTAAAGGACATGATATATCATCATTGATATCGTCGCACGTAGATGAGCACAACACTGAATGGGACAAAGTAGAAGTTCTACAACAACCAAATTTAAAAAGAGCAAGAGGGTTCCTAAAAGCATGGAACTCTATCAAACGGCGATCAACAAACACCTGGACATTGATCGAATATACGGACTACTAAGAAGGGATCAG